TGAATGAATGAACTGCCTGCGTTGCCCGACTCTGGGCGCAGCCCCTTAAATATATCTACCAAGAAGGACACAAAAGACTCTGGCTTGGGCCTGCTACATCTGGTGCGCCCTACACGTCATGTCCAAGTCAAGACTTTTCGCAAACCAATCCAGAGCAAGACCAAGGCCCTAGATATCCCTAGGCCATCCTTCTGGTGCCACACATCGTAGAGGCCCGCAAGAAACAAAGGAGCGTGCTCCGGTCCGTCAATCCTCAGTACCACCGACTTCCTCTGTCTGTCGGGTCGGGACACCCAGCAGCATGTCGGGAGTCTGGCTTGCTTTCATCTGCAGACTCTTCCATCTTCGTGGGCTCCTGAAACAACGTTCGATCCAAACCGAATCAAGGATCACAGGATGGCACCTCGTCCGTTTTGGTAGACCATGGTATGGTGTGGCCGTCATACCTGATCATCACTTCCCGTTCCCGAATCCATTGTTCGTTTTGCAACACTGCATGAATTACCTGAGACAAGGTGCTCATCTCTGTTTCGGATGAACATGGGTGTTTTTGACTTCCCGTTTGCCTGACATCCGGCAGAGGCAGGTGAGCAGTCGCAAATACTTCTGCATGATCGGTTTTGGTTGCGACAAAAGTTGCGCACACCCGTCGGTGCGAGACCCGATCTAGACCGGCAGAGCAGGGCTGAGTGCCGGCGGGACCGAAAGCACAAATTCCTGTCTTGCAGCCTATGCAGGTCGAGAAGCTGGCTTCACACAGTATCTCACCTAATTCTTTGTAACACATTTCAGATAGTTTCGCAAACATGATCGCGCGTTGTCGCTTTGGCAGCATTACATTCACCACTTAGCCGATGGGGAAGCGTGTTCTGTTTAGGCTTGAAGTGAGCGCTTGCCACAGGAGATTTGCTGCGAGCCTTCCATTCGTAGAAGCCGTCGAAAAGGACAACACAGCGCCGTCTATCGAGTAGGCGACGCCACAGGTTACTGCTCTCTGCACCTGCACATCCCGTAAGCATACACCCAAAACGGTGGATGTGGTGTATGACTGGTTAGGAACCATGCTGGGAGGGACATAGTATGTGCAAGACTGCCAGTCAGTCTGAACTGACTCCTTACAATCCAATCGTTCTGTGATTGCTGCTGACCAAAGTCATCAGACCTCTGAAAGTCAAAAGCAGCGCATTGGTGTATGAAAGATGCGCGCTCACGCACTGCACTCTGACCGCCTTTTTTGATACGCCCCGTGTAAGGTGCACCAGGTGACCACGTTCAGTACGCACGCACATGTTGAGGTACAGTTGTGCGTTGATGACAACACTGATAATCTTAGCTATGGTAAGTGCTGGCTCATCCTCAGCATGCTACCGTGAGCATCCTTTATCCGTTCTTGCTTAGAATGCTCCGAATCAAAGACCCAGGCTCCTCCATGGCCGGTGTGGAGCCAAGTTTTGGGACCTTTCTTGGACCCAGGCCGCCTGGGCTCAGGAGGGGGCGGTAACTAGTCGATCGGATTGTGCCTGGGCTGGCGGCCGTCATACCGCCCGTGCCTGTGCTCCCTGACGACTGGAGAATTGAGCGCTTCAAGGGCCGCAATGGTACTCCAGGCACAGTTGCCTTCGCAGTTGCCTTTGGCTTCGGTCTAGGTGTAAGTGTCTGAGTTGCCAGGGCCGGGGGTTCACTCGAATTGCCGATGAATTCGTCCAAGGTCGTGGAGCCATCATAGTTTTCCAAAACCCAGTGACGCCTAGGTGCTGCAAGCCTCGCCAAGGCAATCTTAGCGAGAACCGGTACAAGACCATGTTTGGCGATGAACTCATCAATCCTTTCAAGCTCAGCCGTGGTACTCTTCATAACCACACTCATTGCTCGTGGAATCGCCGGTCTTATCCCAGCTTTCGGTGGCTCTGAGGCTGGCCTGGGCTGGTAAGGAGATGCCTTAGCGGCAGGAACCCTGCTCACACTGACTGCTGTGGCTTTGGCCTTCACAGCTGGTCTATAGAGGGAACTGGCTGGCTTGATTTGAATCGGGATTGGGACAATTGGCTTGACTGCAGCTGTTGCTGCAGAGATGCCCCGCGGATTCGTCGCCGTTCCGTTCTGCGGAAGGACTTTGATGCCGTTGACCGCAGGCGTCCACAGGCGCTTCACACCATTCTCTCTTGGCATGTCATCTGGCAGCACTATATCATCCAGGGGAGTTGGCTCGGGTGCAGAGGCTTCTTTTCTGTGAGCTTCCAACAGCGCCAAATCAACGTCCATGACATCTATCTGCCACCGTCCGTTTTTGAAATAGTCGTGGGGATTAGCTAGTGGATATAGCTGCAACACCCTCCGAAACATCTCCTCACCTCTGACGGGTTCTTTCGCCATTGTTGACCCATCCTCATCCTGGCTCTGCAGCGATTCTGGCTCATCCGGTTCATCCATCAAGGCAAACAAGTGGGCCAGCAGGACTGCCGCACAGCGTCAATTCAACGTTAACATCTTGCCGTTTGAATTTTTGAATGTGATGACGTTTTGTTTGATGACTTTTTGCCCTCGTCACACAGTATTGGATTGCTTTACAGCAGCATCCTGGTATGAAGCATGCATGTACTGCAGGGCTGCGCCACTTTCGCATCTTGCGCAGCAAAAGCGCGCTTTTCGGTTGGCTTCTGACTTCTGAGCCTTGAACCGAAAGTTCGAAATTACAGCAAAGTGGGCATGTGAGGTGTGCTAATGCCTGCATACTGTGAGGATTCCTGCCGGTTTTCCAAGGGTAGAGAAAAAAAGGGAAGCTAGGTGACGACTATGACTATGAAAGACCACTTATGCAAACAACAGATGGTGCTGAAATTGTTGGCGGCTGATGAATGCAATCGAAACCCTGCCGCGACCTCACTCAGCGCAGAGAAACACCTTTCTGAAGTGAAGATCAAACACGGAAACACAAATTTACTGCGGACTTGACCAGTTGGGCTTGTGTGACCAGCAACTCAGAACCTTTCACTAAAAGCCTTCCACACGGGCATTGAAGGTGCTGCTGCCACCCTTGAAAGCGTCGAAGTCCTGCAGGCGCTTCGTTGAGTTCGTCTTTTGCTAAGAGGATTATCTACCCAGCGCCGACCTCTGCCCGCTTGGCAAATGAGGGGACCAAGCCCCAGCGCATGGCGCAAACCTTTCCAAGAATTGACCACGAAGCTTCCTTGTGTCCCGCTCCTGCCCGCTCCTGCCTCTCGGCTCAGCGCTTCAGCGCCTCGTAAGACTGGCACACTCGAACTCTTGAACTCTCGTGGGCTGGAAGGCTCCACATGCTGCATGGGCCCAGCCAAGACATCAACCAGTGTTAGGGTACCCCTATGGCGCTATGGTGTTGAACCAGACAAGCCCACAGCCTCTAAAGCGAATTTCATGAGCTGTTGCCTATGAGGGAGCCAGAAGCAACTCACACCAGCGGCCCCACAATGCCCCGGTGGGAACTCGGTGTCTGGCTCTCTTCCACTGTGCGAACGACGGGAACGTAGTTCATGGGACCGAGGTTGTACCTGTAGAGCTCCTCTTCTCATGAGAGTGCTGCATACAGCCTACTTTGGCGGGTGCGCATCCGGACAGCACAAGGTCTGACTCCAAAAAGCGGCGCACTTTGTACGGAGACGTTCGCAGCCGCGTGTTTTCGTTTTTCGGCCGTCACCCTTCGTACACTACATTTGTCACGCTCCGTAGTTCTCATCGAACGGAGGTTCTGGGAAGCCGGCACCGGCTATTCTCCGGCAGCGATCTCCGGACAAGGTGAGCCTCGGCAGCGGCTGCGTGGGGAAGTGATTCATCAAGAGCTGATTTAGCTGAGCATGCAGCGCCCCACGCCCACACATGGTGCCAGAAGGAGTGGAAATAAGCTATGCAGTGTGTCGCAGCAATGTCAGAAAACTTATACACCAGGTTCGGTGAAAGCTATTACAAGAGCAGTTGCCACAGGACAGGTAAACATTCCAAAGCAACTCTAACTTAAGGTGAAACTGGGACAATGTGCCCCAAGCACACAGGAAGTGGGTTACCCACTGAGCCTGAGCGCAACTGGCCGGACAGCAACCTTTCCTGCATGCTGACACACTGCTTCTCAACGGTGCAACGAAACAAGCCATGCTCAGAGCTGCATCTTCCACATGCGCAGCTGCAAGAGCAATACTGAGCCGGGTCTGCTGAAACTGCATTTGACTTACTAGCAAGTTGGGCTCGAGTCGGGCAAGCAACGCGTTGTTTTGCGAGAGCAGCGTGCTTGCATGCTGATGCGCGCTATATTTACGTCCCTAGACTCGCTGGCACATCCTTGGCTCTCTCGTCATATTCGCTGCTTCGGCGCGATGCTGTGAACATCTGTGAACCACCTTTCGGTTTCTGCAGCGAGTAAGTTATTGGCTCCGTTCAGCGAGGCCTCCTTTCGGGCCTGCGCTCACTGCTTTGCAAAGGCAATCTTCAAGGCCATGTCTGGCGTCACCTTGCTGGCGGGAGGCAGCTTTGCCACTCTGCTCGCGGTCGCTTACACTCCGGATTACTGGCGTTGGTTTTGGGACTAGCAGGTCTCACACATCCCTAGCATATACTCAAATTCCGGCAAGTCCATGGCTACACTGCTCCCGTTTCGTTGCCCAATGCACGTCGGAATCGAGATAAAGACCCGACAGTTTGTGCTCAAGTTGTGAAGCAGCCCCCTACAGCTGCGGTTCAATGTTGAAAGACATGGCGTGGAACCGGGGAAACGAACTCGGGGATGAAGAGACTGATGCAGCGATGCTTGAAAACACCAGCGTGAATAACCCAGTTCAATCAGTGGGTCGAACGTGATTAGTACGTCAAAACTGACCCTGCGAATCGCAAAACTTGCATACATTTCAACTTTCTGGCTTGAGTTCCGTCGAACACTCCAAATCTCGACAGTATGCGCAAACAACCATGACAGCATTTTTGCAGTGCATTGCGATGCTAAGCTTCCGGCCATAAAGCCCTGCAGACCATGCTTGGCGATTCCGGCCTGTGGTCGCCACAAACTTCCGGTGCGCATTTAGACTCGCACTGATGCTCTTTGATGCTTGTCGACTGTTATGTTGAAGCACTGAACTGGTCCGCAGTGGCTGAGGAAGAATGTTCTTCGGTGTTGCCGATCATCGTACTAACGCAAGTATGAAGCAACGCAATACCACGAGGAAACCTGCAGTTCGTCCGAGTACTCGATGAAGGCCACGTTGCGACCCTTGATGAGTCGTGCCTGGGAGGCACCGAGGCAAGACTTGCTCTAATGCGTCTGGACTTTCACACTCCAGTGCCTACTATCCGGGCCTCCTGAAAGCCAGGATACTGCCTAAAGAGCATGGTGAGCATGAGCTCGTTCACCTCACAGGTAGGTGAACATGCTAGCTGCCGAGCTGTACATCCTGTTGTTCGACCGGTTGGACATGTGCTAGGCAAAACAAGAAATCCTTGCCCTCGCGAAGTGCTTTGCCTCTGCTGGCAGGTTTTCCACGAAGAGTACATTGGAAGGTTGACCGTCTGCTCCTCCGCCTTCCCTGGGCAAAATTGAAACATGCAAGTTGTGCAAAGCATCCATGTTCCACGATTTGGACCCTGGCGCTGCTGCCGGGTGGGCTGCCATCTTGGGCCTTGCGCCAACAGCACTTCGACATGCACAAGAATGTGCCCACTCACAGAGCATACATCCACACGATGATGGACGAACGCATGCAAGCAGCTGCTCTTCCGAGCTTTACACGGCCAACACTGAGACTGTTCCATGCTTGCAAAAAGCGCACAGCTCGTCCGGAATTCGCGTTCAAGACGCATTGATGTCAGGAGGTATCACTCTCAGCTCGTCGCGCGACGCTCTTCGGGGCGACCAGCGCTGGTGCTGTCTTCGCCCTGTCAACATGCAGAGGTGTCTTTTACAGCAGCGCCGCTGCCACTCCACAAAGCTTCGTGTTGTCCCTATTTCGATGCCTTTTTGCTTCCTCCTTCTGGGCTTCAAGCTTTGCACGAGGCTTCCAAGTACCGTCCTCACAAAGCACAGCTGCAAGTGGCATGACAACTGCGGGACCCACTCTAGCAGCATGGCGATGGTGCCAAAGCCTGTGCAAGCACATCGTTCTTAGTCCTCGTGAGCAACGACATCTGATTTCGTCCTGTCGCGGAACAACAAAGCTGCACTGCAGAGAATAGATAGGCTTTGGCATGTCCTGGCCTGCAGTAGTTGATCTTCATGGGCTTGTCCAAAAACACGAAGCCATTCAACGACCGAAGCCTGAGCTAGTCTTTACACTGCTTTGAATGCAGCTCTGGCAAACGGTTCTGTGTGGGTTGTCACGTCCTTGCTGTTGCCGCCTGTCTCGCATGCCCTTCCCTGCTGCGGGCCGTGTAGATCCTTGCTGGGCTCCGTTTGAAAGCGAAGTGTTGAGAGGAACAAACGAGGTAACACTCAAGAACAGGAATGTCAGTCATGGGGTCTTCGGGGCTCGGAGGCCAAAACAGATCACGGACATGATTTCAATGTCGACAAGCGGGAGCAATGCTACTATCTCCCCCTGACAGGAACACAATACCACATGGCTCCGACAAAAGACATAGTGTAAACATGCGCACCGACAAGCCTTTGATCTATCGCCATAATTGCCTCGTGTCATTACATGTGTCCGTGTGTGCCCTGCCTCAAGCAGCTGGGGCAGAGTCGTGTGTGAAGTATGACTGTAAGGCTTCGACGCGTTCGTGGCGCAAGATATGTCTCTGAAGACCACAAATGCCTGCCAAGCTCAAACTTTCCATGTGGGAACTTGATTGAATGTTGAATTCGGACTGTCGGAGCTTGTGAAGATTCGATGCCTGACCCTTCTTCTTGAGGCTTGCAGCTGCAACAATGTCAATGACCTGCGACCAAGCTCAGCGGAGGCATACCCGTTGCAAGCACGGGAAAGAAAGACCAAACAGTCATGCCATCGAAAAAAGTATAACATGCTAACTGCTACGCAAATACTTTCAACACGACTGGACTTCCTGCCTCACCATAGCTGGAGAAGAGTTCCAGGAGGCAGTTTTTCAACTCTTGTACCTTGATTTTCTCGTTCAGCCCATTGACCTGGCTCTTGGGGCTTGTGACGGCGACTGTAAAAAGCGATTGCCTGCGGCAATACTGCCCAAGGCCTGGACGCTTGCGGCTATGACCCGCCCATATTACTTTTCACAACAAGTGCAGCCGCCAAGGTCAACATGCCGGCCGAACGTACAAGGTCTGATTCGGTGGGATGTCACCTCGGCATGTGGGAGAATGTGGATTACTTTACAATGGCTCCGCTTCATCGTGACAACCTCCTACAGCTTCCCTCCAGACCCTCTTCCATCATCTTTCGAAGTGGCGTGTGCGTGTCTGCAGCTTGCTCGCATCTTCCGAGGTTTGTGCCGCGAAAGAAAGGCGAAACCCCTTGAAGATGCCGTGGGATATAGCAGGGAGGCAGAGCCCACAGAGCGTTTGAAGGGCCGAGAGCGAAACGAAAGCACGCACAAGCGACAGCAAAATTGGAAAGAACGGCTGGTCCCGAGATACGGGCCGTAGTTGACACCGCCTTTGCCCTGCGGTCGAAACATGGCTCTGGAGCCACCCACCGTCCCAAGAGAGTGGCAACTGATTGAGCAGAACTGCCGCAGCTTGGTTTTCAATCATGCCAGGTCACCGCAGTGAAAGCAGATCATGATGCGCATGGATTCTTCGACGATCCAGTGTCTAGCATCTTTCATGTTTTTCCACTCTCACGACTTTTCTCGGACCTCGGGCGCCCTCGGTCTCACCACGTCTCAGTCCTCACCCAGAAACAAGAGCCTGGTCAGTTGCCACTACCAACATGACGTCTGGAGCCTACTGCTCCAAGCGGCTTTTCGTTTCCACTCTTGTGCTGGCCTGTTGTAGTTGTTCTGTTCGTTCGGCACAAGGATAACCTGGGTTGGGAGGCCCACGAAGAGCTCGGCAGCTGCCTGACTCAAAGACCAGAGCGGCTTTTTAGGTCTTGTGTTGCCGGTCCTGCATCACCTTCTCCGAACAGCTCAAGGTCAGCACCTGCACGTGGCTTTGCTAGACATACTTGGGTCAGTCTGGACCTTGTACTCGGGCGGAAGATCAAATCGGCGGTCTCGTTTTGCTTCCACTGCATCTACTGCGGCAGTCACACGTGTTGGCCATTTCTGTGAAACGCCTTAAGAGGTGCACCAAGAAGAGCACGTGCAACCGGTTGGCCAACAGCCTGCCAAGACTCTGATCAGCACGTCTGCAGTGTTGTAAGCGAGAGGAGCTGCGGAGGATACTTTAGGCATGGTTCTGCTTCAGCCAGTGTCCGCGCACCTCCATCCAGCCGTCCAAGTGGTGTGCATTGGCCGTCAAGTCCTACCGCACCAGCCCCAGTCCAGGACAGACTGCTCCAGAAATTCTCTTTGGAACAATGAAGTAGTAGAAACCACTCTTGAGGCCACATGAATGCGCCGTCTACGATCACACTTGTATGGGAGTTTCTGTGACGAAGTCTCTGATCCGTGTTGAGGACCGAAGCACGATGTTCCCAAAACAATAACAACACAGACAAGCCGAGAGTCTCCTCTGAGTGTTGGGACGCAGAACTAGACTTAGAGATTCAGGGATCAAGACAAGGCCGACTCCCGAGATCGCGGTCCAGTGATCGCAAGGACACCGCTGCCGTGATAAGCCGCAATCTAGGTCACGCTTTTAATTAAAAGCAGTCCATCAAAGATCGAAGTGCTCAAGAGAGCAAAGCAACTGATAGCATCCGAGGCTTGGACACCCCCGCTTGATCAATGCCGCATCTGTACAGCGAAAGGTCCTCAGGAAACTCAGAAATTAGGTTCTGAATCTGTTGAGCCCAATTTTCTTACAATATCTTACAATCTTGTCTTGCTGACGTGCCGGAACACCCGCAGCGGCGAAGTCTCCAAAAGCTGCGCCAAAAGCTGGGCCCCTGCAGGTCCAACACCTTGGATCATGGGAGGCTTTCGCAGAAAGGAACAAATAAGACGTCGACCGTTGTGTTCATGCGGATTCTTACACACCTTCCGCTGTCAAGTTGCCACATTCTGAAAGATCCAACAGTCGCAGACTCTCACGGAGTGGAGATGCTACCAGGCTTTGCCACGTGGCCTCAGTGAGCTCAGTTCCACAATTATGCACGGCCTTGGTCTCGGCAAGAACATCGAGCTGAAGGCGCGCAACACTCTCCACTAGGATGTGCTTAGCTGTCCTTCGCCACCAAGCCGACACGACCGAGGCTGCTGCATACGACATGGACGGGTTCGCACCTCGGACCACAGGCTATCGACAGGCTTAGAACGCAGATGCCGAATCCACATCCTGGGCTAAAGCCATGCAATGCGGGGCGGCAGAAAATCTGAGTCGATAGCTTAAGACCAACCCTTCGAGTTCCAAAGCTGCTCGGCTTTGTCCTGCAAGGCAAAGTGGACGTCTGCAACTTCCAAGTGCATCGTGGCAGGTTGCCTTCTTTGGGAGTTGTCAGCGACAACAAAGATGCCACATCTTCGTCTGTGAATCCATTTCCACTCCTGAGCGTCATCGAAACTGCATGTCAAATTTTGTACAGGTAGCAGATTCGAAAGGAAAACCGAACTTGACCGTCGATTCTGCATCTTGCTCGTTTCGACTCTTTGCATGGAAGCATACGGCCTGACCCACAATCACGTCAACAAGAACTGCACACCCAAAACCTCCGATCGACAAGACAACACAAATGCATTACAAGATTTCCTCATTTCTCCGGAGTTATTATTTGCCACTTGTGTTGTTCAACCGATTTCCAGGGTTGCAAATTCGACGCATCAGTCGGATGCGAAATCGGAAATCTGAACGGCCCCGTCTGGGCGACCAATCCGAGTCTGCTGAGCTCAGGTCGGTCAGACTGCTTTGATGTGAATCGGGTCTTGAAACAGATGCTCAGCAAAGCGGAAGCGTACCAACACTGTCAGGCATACGGATTCGTGTGGCTTTCAGGGACCCTCAGTTCCAATAAATGGAGCAGAAATCAGCAATGGAACATGCAACTCAGGCGATGGACGATGTGGCCTTTGCTGTATGTTTGGAAGTATCATGCCACGTCTCAGGTCCAGGATCTCTAGCTGCCGAGGCTGGTCTTTGCAGAAAGCCTGGCTGGTGCCAACGCAGGCATCGCCACATATCGCCACAGCGAAAAGTTTGCTTCTGTGGCTGTGAAGCCTCCAACAAAGGCGTTATGGCTCCTCGCAAAGCCAGGTGCTGCAATCCTGAGAACATGCGTCTGCACTTCGACAGGCCGTTGATTGGTGTGTTCATGAAAAGCGAGGCAGTTGCAAAGTGTGGCAACCAAGGCTCGAAGTATCCGCGCTGCGCAGGGACGAAGTGCCGCGCCCAGCAAGGCTGCGCAATCGGCTACACCACGTATCCTCGGTCAGGCGGGTCAGATGACGGTTTGGCAATCAGTCCGCTTGGAGCTGCTGTGCTTCTGTTGTGCTATCCGCAAGACCGGCTACTTCGCTGTCAATCCCATGGCGGCGCATGCAGCTGCAAATCACAACTGCTCGGTTTAAACGAGAATTTTGATCTCCACTCCTGGAGAGACCAGCGGCTCAACTATTGAGATGCTTCGCAGGGCCCAGCAGGTCCAGGTTGGACTCGAGCGGATGAATGCCTGGTGCTTGTGACGAACCCTTCCTTCTTCCCGTCTCTGGCGGAAGGGACGCTCTTCTGAGCCTGGAAACCAACACCGAAACAAGGACAGGGAGCCTTCCCAAGACCAAAGCGATTAACTAATTAATCTTGCTGCAGACAGACTTTGTTGGAATCCGGCTGCAAACTGCCCTGTTCCCGAAATGGAAAACCGAAGTCCCTTAACCTACGCCATCTGGTGGCAACGCTTCAACATTGGATTCTTCCGTCTTCCAATTTCTCTCTAGGCCTGAATTGCCGCTTCTGGAGCTTCAGCGTCCGATCCCGGCTCTTGTCCTCTCGAGGCATTCAGCTGAAAGCTGCAGCCGTTCAGTCTCAGCAGCTCAGCACTGCGGCGGGTCGGGTCCCCATGGGCCAAGCGCCAAGGTCTTAGGAGACTGGCCCTGGCCACCCGGGCCACCCGGGCCACCCGGGCCCCGCAGAGCAGAGGCGCCGGAAGCGGCGCAAGCCTCCCCCAAGTTTTCAGGTCGAACATTTAGCAGCTTAGCATACATGGCATACACCGCTTGCTCTTGACTCCACACGTCACATCTCTGCAGACTGCAAAATCTGCAAAAACCTGCGCACTGCTCTTGGCTCCTCAATCAGTGCAGCGACATCAGCTGCACGACGGAGTTCCTGTCTTCATGCAAGTTCACACAACGTTCTGGGTTGTTCTCTTTTCCTTGCTGCGACGTTTCAGCACCAGGTGATACCAGGTCCAAGAAGATCTGATTTTGTCGACACTGTCCTCGCTGTTGAGGCGCAGGTCCACAGGCACCTATTCTTGAAGTCTTCGGCTGAGCTGTTCCGCTATCACATGTTTGGGAAAGGGGCATGTGCACGAGCTTAGAGATCATATCGCTAGAACTCCTGAGTGCAAAGCACGTTGTCGATGACACGGCGGCAAGTCTGCATGGCCATGGCCTCCCGTCGAACTCGCGCCAAGGCTCGAAGGCCAGCCGTTGAAAGGTTCGCCCTGGCAGCAGTGCTGGACATCGCTTTGTGCCACGGGTGGCGAAAGCTCACTGGGCTGGGCATGTGCTGCCTGTGCTCCTCTCCTGCAGCAAACTGCGGCCGCGGTAGCTCCGGCTCATCTGTTGTGCCTGTAGCCGGTGAGGCCGACCTGGCTGCCATTCGTGCTCAACCCCAGCCCACGGACTGCCACGGACATGTCCTTTTCTGAGATCAGCTGGACCGTTGCGAAGTTTGGCCGGGCCGAAAATCTCAGGCGGAGAAGGGTTCTCGCCTCTCGCTATTGAAATCAGATGGACGCAAGCAACACAACTCAAACTCTCCTGAGAGCCCGGTCGAAAATCTTGCATTTAATTCTTGCCTTCACCACAAGCTCAGAGGCGGCATGTGAGTTCAAGCGATTCTCGCGAGATTTCTGCCGCTCCCAAAGTGAAGCAAAATCAACATCAGGACAGCTGGGATCAATGTGCTGCTTTGATCTGCTTTGCCCAGCTCGAACGTAGCTTTGCGTTTTCGCGCACTGTCTGCAAATCGACACCGGGTAGGTCTGCAAGGCTCTCCTTGGTCCCTGGCCACTTGCATCAGGTTTGTGGCGCTATCAATTGGCGTCTGTGTTGCGAGGCCTTCCAGTGCTCCTGACCGCTGAAGCCCTAGCGCTTCTCCTGGGCTTTGGGCCCTTCTGCCTTTCAAAGAACAAGCCCTTTTGCAACTTCCACTTCTTACATCGCTGGGCTCCGCAGCGGCTCGCTCGAACACTCGAAGACACTGCAAGAGCCAGTCTCACGAGTGCCACGATGCTGACGAGCAGATTATACCAAAAAGAGACCAAGGCAACATCCCCCGGGGTCTTCTGAGCTGGAACATGTCAGGTCTCTCACGCCAACTTAGATGAAAGCTTTGCAGAAGTGCGGCTCTTGCAGTCTACGTCGTCATGGGGTTCTACACATCTTCATTCTGTACATGGAACATCTGTACATGCCAATGCTGACACCGTGCCAAGCCTTAGGCGGTGAGCTTCTGAGCAATCTCTGGCAAGATGATGAAGGCCAGAGTGACGATCGCAGGGATGACAGGCGACTTCTGGTTGAAGGCATTCACTTTCTCGCGAAGCTTCCTTTCATCCGTGCACTACAAAAGTAGTGGAATAAGTGCTTTGCTGAAAGAACGCGTTGGTCTAGGAACGGAGCCGTTGGGCATCGGTCGAACGCACAGCTTCACTCAACAAGCTCACAAGAAGTAAAGAGCCTCTTCAGGGTTCACTCTCGAACATCTCAGGGTAACCGGAAACTCCACGCATCTCCACACGTCCCTACACCCTAAACATCCCTAAACCCCACTTCATGGCTCGACGCATGGCTCGAGGTGCATGACTTAGGGCCTCAGGGCATGAGAGTGAGGGCTGCTTCGAGCTCTCAGCCAGAAGCCGCCACGGGAATTTTTAGCCTCAGGGCCTTGAAGGGCCTTGGGGCACTGAAGGCTCAGCTAGGGAACTAGATTCTAGATTGGAAGAGTTGTCAAGTTTGCAGCTATAGCAGACAGTTTGTTTGTCGCCGGCATCGGGCAATGGTCTCCAAAAAGACAGCAAATCTGTTGTCATCATGAGGCGCGGTTGTTGTCCCCTCCTCGTCGATTGTTCGAGGCTTCGCAGGCTTGCAGCGGGAACGCACTGCATCAAGCTTTCCATTTGAGGGCCTGTTGATTTACCTGTGCACTCCGTTCCCCTTCGAACCGTTGTTTTGGGAAACCTTTTCAAAAAGCGGTCCAAGTCAGCAGAGACTCCTGGCCAGGTCCTGATCTTGGACCTTTTGCATGCCTGTTCCATCCACGTCCCAGAGTCCAGCTTGACCAATGTTTCAGAGGCCCTCCTGCGCAACAGGCAAAAGCATTCGCGAAGGAGTTTGAGTATTCTGAAGAAGCAGAAAGAAGCAAACGGTTATATGACTATATATTACATGTTTTTTCACGAAGCGATGATCTGGACTCAAAGCCATAGAAAATGACAGCGCCAACTGCTTTTGCCTATAGTACTGACTGTCCTCAGCAGATGTCACGAAACCTCGGAGCAAGCAAGATCTACAGAGGTGTGTCTGACTTTCTCCGATGCTAGTACCACCTTCTCTGCGATTTTCCTTGGTAGCTTGAGTCACTAGCCAAGCTAAGCAGCCTCCCGACAAAGCAACGATTGGAAACAGCGCCGTTCGGCTGTACCTCTGCATGTCGCGCATAAGAGCTGTGGATCACAGGTGAGATTGACACTCAGCCACGCTGCCACGGCGCCGAGGTTCCAAGCAAATACCTGAAACAGACTATCGCCGCAAGGGGACAATGGCAGCTACAAGTAGAGTTCACACAGGTGCTCACAGACAATCGCAGTCATCCGAGGCAGCCGAGAGGCGCTGCCAGCAGCACAGAAATACCAGCCATGGCATAACCTGCCACCTGGCAACCACTCGAAAGCAAGGCAAAAGCGCTTTTTTGCAAGAAGGCTTTCCTTTACACTCTCTGGATGCCTTGCCTTGCGCCGTTCACGTTCTGCATCATCAATGTTTACCTTGACTGGGCATTTCGTAAACCCATCCGGCTGCAACATGTTCTCACCATTCAGTGGACATGGCTGAAGCCGTTGCGAGACGCTTCTTATGTGTCACTGCAGTCTGCATTGCACAGCAGTGTCTGACCAAGGAGTTGGCTATTTGTAGGCGGTGAACCGATGGACGACTACTACACTCAGCAGCACGAGCTGCTTGTTTTTGCTCCGTGTTTTGACTGTGCGATGACCTGAGTGCTGTTTGATGCAGTTCTGAGGGGAACACCCGGGCTTTAGACTTTGAAGGCGTCATGCTGTAAGACCAAGCAGCGAGTTCCCGCGCTGCCTTCTCGCGAAGCTCGGCCCGATGCCTGTCAATGTTTCGTAAAAGGTTGCAAAAGGGCCGTCTTTGTCTCCATTGTGAATGTAAGGGCAGCAAGCAAGCACGGGCATGAAGGAATCTTCTCTTCACAGTGCCTTTGCATTTTGCATGCACTTCTTGGTGTTGGTGGGTGTTGCTATATGACAACTCGTTTGCTTTCCGTCAGTTGTCTGCATCCCGAAGTGGCGACAAATGGAATGTCATCCAACAGATTGCCCGTCTTGTCACGACAAGGTGGAACCAGTGCAATCTGTTTCAATGCACACACAATCACTCACACGCACGCACGCACGCACACATGCACGCACGCACACACACACACACATGCACGCTCACACGCGCACACGCACACACGCACANNACAAACAAACACACACAAACAAACACAAACAAACAAACAAACGAACAAACAAACAAAAACACACACACACACAGAGACACACACACACACACAGAGACACACACAAACCCGCACTGACACAAACACGCACAGTCACAAACGAGCACGCACACACACAATCTTTTTCTTTCGACAGGGTTAGGGACACTCACGGACACACACACACACACACAATCTCTTTCTCTTTGATTTGCTTTGCTTGGGGCTTGGGACAAAAGCAGTCCTAGCGCCCTGCGCTCAAGGCGCTTCACCATCCAACATGTTGTTAGGTGGGGAGTCTGTACGTCGGACTGTGGTAAGAAAGTCTGTTGGACTGTGTGCTTCCGTGGGGGCAGGTCAAACACAAGGAGTAAAGCAAAGTAAAGCCCCTCAGGAACCAGATAACCAGCAGAGGTGCCCCGACGGTGCATTTTCCAACTTGCTCTACTTTTAACTCCGCCTCACCTGCCTGACCCTGCCTGTTTCCCGAACGGAAGCCTGCCCCCGCACACACTGCCTCGACCTCCCACTCAACCCTGAACCTCCCTACGGCGCACAACAGCCACAGCGAGTGCCCCTTTTAGGATCCAAAGACAAAGCAGTTTACAGAACAGGTTAAGGCACGGTGGGTTCCTCGCTCAGTCCAACATGGCCGCATGCATTCTACGGCGACAGTGGCTACTCTCACTGCTCTCATCGCCGCTGTGGGGGCTCAGTCTCTCCTTCGTGATGTGCCCCGGCTGCTTGGTGCCCCGCTGCGTGGACCCACGGTACAGTGTCCAGGTCACCACTGTCGACGAGGTCTGGGGCCGTCGCGGGGCAGCTCTGTTGCCCTCCCTCTGCTGGGTCACTCTGCAGCGTCGTCCCGTCAAGAGGTCCCCCGTCGTTCGTCGTCGTCATTTGTTCTAGTAGAAGAGGTAGGTCGCGTGGTTGCCCTGGTTCTCGTTGTCGTGCTGCGGCAGGCCGTGAGGGCTGTACGGTTGCTGCAGAAGTGGGGTCTCTTTCTGTCGCCCCGTCGTGTTATGTCGTGTTCAAGGTGTTCCTCTTCGCCTCGGTCCGTTGTCCCTGTTTGCCGTCTCGGCCTCGGCGTCGTCACCTGGTCCCTCGTCGTCGGAGGTAGTACAGGCTCTTCTGGTTCTGGTACTGCACGGTGTGCTGCTGGTCGTGGGTCTTCTCGTGGTAGTGCGACTGTGGCGGCACGTGTGGCTGTCGTCGTCTGCTGGCTTGTGTCGTTCGTCGTCGCCGGTGGTAGTTCAAGTTCTCCATGATCTGGTTCCGCAATGTTCCGCACGGTGAGCTGCTGGTCGTGGTTCTCCTCGATGTTGCCCCGTCCGTCGTCGTTCGTGGTAGTACTTGTTCTCCGTGATCGGGTACTTCAGGGTGAGCTCCTGGTCGTACTCCACGTCGAGGTAGTAAGGTTTCGCCCTGCAGGGGAATCGTGGTCTGCTGGCTTGTTGCTGTCGTCGTCGGTGGTAGTACCGGCACTTCTCGGTCAGGTACTGCAGGCTGTTCAGCCGGTACTCCTTCAGGTCGTGGTTGTGGTAGTACTTGTTGTCCATGCCCCTTTGTTCCAAGACAAGCTTCCGGCTGTGGTTCCCTTCGAGGTGGTGAGGTCGCGCCCTGCGGGGTGGTCGCCGTTGCTGGTCCCCTGTTGTCGTCGTCGGCGGTAGTACAGGTACTCCCCGTCAGTGAGGTACTGCAGGGTGTTCAGCTGGTACTCCTGGTGCTTCAGGTAGTTCTGGGTCGTGGGCTTCAAGTTGGCGAGCTGGTTGAGGTAGTTCGGGTGATCCCTCGCCTTCCCCTTCTCCTTCTTCGACCAGGGAGATGACTTCTCCCCAGATCTGCGTTGACCACTGGTACAAGTCCTGCAGTGTGTCCCCCGCCAAGAGTTGTGCCTCGCCATGGAGAAACGGGATCAGGTGCCTGATCTTGCGCATCGCCATCAGCGGCAGTTCTTGCTGGGCAGCTGGTAGCTCACAGGGTTTGCTGTCAGGTCCCCCGTTGTGAGCTATTGTGTCCGCCGCATGACGCGTCTTTTCCCGCAGAGGTCTCACTCGTTCGCCCACTCCGAGTAGACACCGCCTTGATGGACGGCTGCCCAATCCCTTGCTTTTCTGGCACTATGAAAATCACTGCTGAGCGCCTTGATTCAGGAACCGCTCGACCTGCCTCAAGTCGTGTTGCACATCATTGTGCAATGCCTCGCACCCCATATCATGAAGTGCCCCGATCGTCGCCACCGCTATCTCCAGCAGGTCCCCCGCAGTTTCGTGCGGGTTTGGCGGCGGAGGGATGCCAAAGCCAGGCGGGGCTGGACCGGTGAGGGGTGCCTCGGTGCTGCTGCTTGCTGTGCTTCCTGCTTGCGTGCCCTCCAGCGGTGGTTGGAGGGCGCGCGAAGCTTGTTGTGCTTGGAGCAGTGCCTCGCCTCTTGTCAGCTCCAGCACGCGTAGTATGCAGCGTCTCGCTCTGGCTGCTGCTCTTGCCTCCTGCTCTGGAGGGTTTGGTATTTGCTAGTGCCGGGTGTGCCCCCTTGCATCAGGACCGTCTGGTCGCTGTGGGCTTGCTCTTCGGCTTGGGGTTTGGGTCCCGTCAAACAGGTAGTGCTCCCATTCACGCATCCTAAGCATCTGCTTGTGCGCTCTGTGTGCGAGCCAATCTCGTTTGCTGGCCGCCACGCCTTCCGTTCGGCTCGAAGGAGTGCCGGGACCTGTTTCCAGGCTGCTTTGCGTTCTGGTCCTGCGCCGGATCTGCTTGAGCTTGTTGCTCTCTTTGAACTTGTCCGTGTCCCTACCCCGGGCAGTCATGTCCATCGCAATCGCCGCAATC